GCGCGGCAGTGCACTTCTGGACGCTACTAAACCCGCGTCGGCCTCTCGCATCAAACCGTTGGGTGAACCAAGGAACCTCGCGTTCAACATCGGCGAGTATGCGTAAGAAGAGAGGACGACTCATCCGAAAACGATTACTAAAATCCTCCGGTGTATAAACACACGGATTATTAAAGTAGTCGTTTAGAAGTGAAGCATGGGCGGCCGATCCCGGTTTAGACATTGGCGTCGAGTCTGTCGTCGGGAGGATTCGGCTTCTTCTTGGCCATCTTCCCACCATTGAATACAATTCGTCGCGAAACAACGAAAAAAGAAAGCTCTTCTTTCATCTTCGGAAGATGAACCCATTTTTAAATTTATATTTTATAAATATTTATAATAAATAATAAATATTTTAGTGAGAATATAAAGAGAGATGAGAGAGAGAGAGGTGTGAGAGAGATGTATGAGAAAGGGGGATTTTATAGTTTTTTTTTTAAATTTAGATTTTTTTTTAATTTGGGGGGGGGGGGGTAACGGCTATATAGCCGTTGGAAAGGGAGCAGCTGAAAAAACGAAGCAACGCCGCGTCAAACTAATGACGCGGGTATACTCACGCCCCGTTAACGCCGGAGGGGGGCGGTGTTTCACGCCCCCGGGGCGTTAAACGCCCCTTAATGCCGGCGGGCGTGATGAGGATACCCAGTGCTCTGAGACGACAGAAGTTGAGGAGTAACATATTATTATCTTTGTCAATATTTTCAGTGATTGATTATCAACATTTGCATTACATAAAGTAGACTCAGTTAAACATTGAAGTAGACTATGCTTATGCTGCTTGATTTTCAACTTTTGCCTACTCCCACAAAAATAAAAGTTGAAAAACATCTCAAAGATAGCTTTTGGATTCTATGCTTAAAATAATTTCATACCCAAAAGTGAAGGAAAAAATGGATGGCCATGATGGGTGAATGGATGGCAAGAAAAAAATAGGCAATTAAAAATAAATAGAAATATAGACTTCAGTAATGTATGTACTACTTTTCAAGTAGTACATACATTACTGAAAATTCGATCAAATTATATTTGGAAAGGTTAAAAAATGAATACTAATGGTACAAAATGATGGATGAAAGGAGAGGCATAGAATGCAAATGACTGAAAAAGAAGAGATGATAGAATGTCCATATCTTATATATATCCCAAAACCTATAGAAAATGGATATGTGAATTTCACACTTGTATAAGTTAAAAGAAGAAGCACAAATGAGTTTCCACAAGCAAATTCTCAACCCCCCATTAGACATACACTCATTCTCAATATTGTTCAGTATTTGTGGATGTCTGCGAGAAGATGGGAGTGAGAATTGAGTAACTTTAGTACGAGGTCTTTCCAATGGCAATGGGGAAAAGACAATTATATCCCCAAATCTCAATACCCTGCATCTCAAAAGACTGCACAAAAGAAATGAACATTTGACCTCTATAGAATTCATAAAAGAATATATATCAGGGGATATACGGATGAACTCATTTTTGGAAATTACTGAATTGGGTTGAGAAGAAGTCGTCTTTGGTGTTTCTTGTATTTGAAGAAACCCCAGATTTGCCAAGCCCGGATCCCTGACCCATAGATCTGCTCGAGTAAAATGCAGTAGGCGGGGCGGGCCCCTTTTCTTTCTCCTCTGCAAGGTTCCCCTTCTTGGCTGCAAAAATGGAAAAATTCTTCAAAGCCAGCAAAAAGAAAGACTTTATTTTTAATTACTGACAATCCGATGATGATATAAAGAGTTCCCATCATAACAAAATTACCAAATGACCTTTGATGTTTTTTGAAAACTATGAATAAGCCACTTGAACATTCAAAATTTTCACAAAGGACACTGAAGACGATAAGATGTGTATTTAAGCTTGAAATAATTATAGCCAATAAAATGCATTAAAAAACAATCAAATTTAACATGAAGATGAACAACTCTGGTAAGTACTCTGTATGATAATTATATTCTGTAATATGTAAGAGTAAAAAGGGTTGTTTGCAAAATATGACTGATCAAACAGCTTGTTTGAAAGTTTCAGAAACCTCAAGGGTCGTTTGATAATTTGATCAAACATCGAGCCATCAAGAGAACTAAATAAGTGCAATTAACACAGAAACATAATTCAGTAGATAAACTTACGCGCACTTATGTTGAGATCAATCAATCCACGGCTAAGTGAATCAGCCCATATTCCAGACTTGACCTGAAAAGAATTCTTCTTGTTTGGGAGCTTGGAATCTACTGAAGATGCGTTCAAGCTACCTTCACTTGTACCGCCAGCGGAATCAGTTTGGGAAACAAATGAACCAAATGGGTCCGAACTGTCAAAAGCATTTAATGGAACGGCAGCGAATGGATCAAGTGTACTATTATTAGTATCCTGGGGCTCTTGTTTGGAAGATTTCTCGGGTTGCACATCCGGATCAGGTGCATCAAAGAAATCAAATGTTGAGAGAGGAACGGGTGAGGCTGAAGGCAGAGGAACTGCTTGCGAGAACAGATCAACACCCATCTGCAAAAAGTACTTATAAATAAATAATTAAATATCCACACACTATCTGGACAAATGAAATTGACTTTTAGCATTTAGCACAAGGAATGTGACAAAGCCTTATGCAATAGGGTTTCTGCTCAGATAGAATGTAAGATTCCAGTAACAGGAGATTGCCTCAAGAGGTGTTTGGTGTAATGTTAGATACTAGATAACCAAGGTGATGCAGCCTGAGGTGGTTGAAGATAATCTGATCACCACCGAAATGAAACATTGCCATCATGCTTGGATTTTCAAGTAGAAGGGGAATGTGATTACTCCTTTCTTCTTAGGCAATGTAATATTACCTTGGTGATATTTTAGACTAGTTTGAATTTACCCTTACCAAATCAACAACACAAGAAATATTACCTGGTTACATTCAGGTAAGTCTACCTTGTTATAATGGTATTCCTACGTTATCCCATGTATTATTGTACATTTGTACTCCTCCAATCCGTCCCAAAGTATTTGTCCAGTTGACTTTTTGCGGTCAAACTGGACAAAGTTTGATCATTAATTAAATAAAAAATACATTGGGTGTTAATACAGAATTAAATAAACTGAAACAGATTAATACTCTGCATTACATTTTAATCTTAACCAAACACATCATGGTATCTTAAACTCTCTGTCCCAAAACTAAGTTTACACTTTCTCACTTCCCTATTATGGAACGTAGTATCTGACTCACAACATGTCTCTCTCTCCAAAACAAATTTCAACCGCACTTTTTACTTTTTAACACTTTTCTTGAACAATGTGAAGTTAGACAGTAAACTTCATTTGGGGGCAAAGGAAGTATTCTAGTAATATCACATCACTTAGGCAATCATATTACCTGAATCATCTTATATTCCCCCGTCCCAAAAAGAGAAATTCCAACTTCTAGAAAGTAAGTGTGATTGAAATCGGATTAGAAAAAAGAGGAAAATATTGTGAGCCGTGTGTCTTTTTGCTTAAAAGGAAATAGAAGCGTGAGTTTAATTTTGGGACAACCCAAAAAGGAAATCATGAATTTGTTTTTGGGTGGGAGGGAGTATTCAAATAATCTCACATTAATTTCCTGAAAGTAATCACATTAACTAGGATAATTTTGCATTCACGTAATCCTATGTTTTGGTACCAGACAGTAGTTATATTACCTGATATTATCTCATGTTCCTTGAAACAAGTGTCTGGTAAGTTATTTGCTTCACAAAATGTGATACGGAGTACTTAAGTTGTGATTAGCAAGGATAAAACCAGAATAGTCTAAAATCTCACCACTGTAATCTAGGTAATCACACTTTTCATCTTCAACATAAAAATCCAAACATCATTGTAATGTATGTTACACATTACCACAGTAGTCTGAACCAAAAAAGGACATTCGATAGAATAGTTACCTCAGCTTGAGAGCTTCCTGTTGCTTCAGGTTGGGAGAACAGATCAATGCCCGCCTACAAAGTTTATCAGATGAATGTCCTCTAATTAATCAAGAAATTGCTTTACAAGGAATGTACATATATGATGGGAAACTCACCTGAGGAGCCTGAGAACTTCCCCATGTTTTGGACTGAGTGATAGCAGTTACAAAAGCTGCATCCGCAAATAAATCAACTTCTGTTTGTTCATTCTTTACGGTGGCCTTATCTGATGAAGAAGATACAGAAGTTGTATCCAAGAGGTTACCAACCAAACTTCCACCGAAAAGATCTACTTGGCTAGAACTTCCCACTGCAGTAGGCTCTGTGAACCAAAATTGAAAGCCAATCTTAATTTCAACCACCAAGGGTACCAAAAATTTAGCATGTGGAGGGTTTTGGAGGGAAAAACTTTGGAGGGCTTAGTTCATATCTTGACAGTTGACATATATTTGGTTTATTTTATAAAAATTGAAAGATTAACATAATATGTGATCATATAAGTATAAGATTTACAGTACACTTCAATTACTCTGTATCTGTTATTTGTTTTTAGAAATCAGAAACATTCTATTTATCAGATATCAGCTGAGTCTTTTAAAACCTTCCCCAAAAAAAGCCTCTACCCAAACACTCTTAAGGTCCTAATAGTGAAGTACTTGTAGTTTCAGTATAGAGAAATCCTTTACTTTCTTTCATTCATTCAAAAAACTGATGGTTGAGATTGCTTTTGCTCAGAGAAGAAAACCCTCAGTCCTACAAAAAGGTTCCACGATGGAATTGCCACATTTATTAAGAAAGGTAAAATTATGTGGTTAAAAGTGGTGCACACGAGAGAAAAACTATGGGCCACAGAAACTTTTCCATAAATGGAAAATGAAACCTTTTTATGGGACATAGGGAGTATGTGTTTATTACTTTATCGGAAGATATCATTTCTTTGTATGTGACATCATTTAAGTATGTTAGCACCTACTAAACAAATGGATTATTTAACTAAGCAATTAATTAAAAAAGTATCACATGCTCACAAAGACACTTACTAGCAGTTGAAGTCCCACGAGGATCAAAATCATCAAAATCGTCTTCATAATTGCTACTTGGTGTAGTTGCAATCGTAGAGGGTATTGAAGCATTCTTATCAGAGTAGCCTGTCTTGTTTGTCTTTGATCCACTAGCAAAAACAGCACCATGCTTCTTACTGTGAAAAATTATACCCCGGTAGACTAAAACAAGCAATGAGAAAGAGCCTACCACATGTTTGTATTTATTCATCTTTAAATCTCTAAATTTTATCCTATGCTATTTTTGCATAATTTTTTGTGTTAACTATATTAGACAATTAACTGACATTATAAATTTCATGTCAATGACCCAAACATGGTGGGTATTAAGGTTCTGACTTCTGATGATTAAGAATATTTAAGAATTAAATCCATGCATGGAAGACTAGAATTATGTACATCACTAATAAAATTTAATGAGAAAGACAATGAGATGTGCTTGATGCCAATGCACTCGAAATAAAATATGCTTCTCAGTATGCAAAAAGCAAATCATGTATAGCAGCCTGGCCAAGAATTTTTCACAACACAGATAACAAAATGAGATACACCATGTGCCAAGAATTTTTCACAACACAGATAACAAAATGAGATACATTTCTTGTCACTTTTTGCCAAAAAGTAACCCAAACAAATTAAGAAAATTAAAATTAGCCAACAAATAAATTAGTAAAGCATGACTTGGTAATAATCTTGGTAAAGCATGACTTTTTGGGACAAAGGTAATACTCTTAAATGTGCTACAAACTGACTTTAAGAAGAAGAAAAAAATCATGTTCGGAATGAGATTATTTGCATCTATGTAGTATGACTTGTTAGGCACTATTGAGATATGCATACTACCTTGCACGATGAGAGAACCGATTACTTGAGCTGTCCTCTTTGTCAGAAATCTCCCTTCGAGATCTATAATTAGTATTTCTGTCAATCTTAGGATCACCATATCGATCGCTATCCTTGGGAGTGAATGAGTCACTATCAACCTTACTGCCAAAACCTCCATATCGACTGCCACTACTCATGGATGCAGATCCTGACTTGTATGTTATTCCAGTAGATGATAGTCCAATATACCTAGAAAATGATTGTAAAGTTCAACAAAATGCATCTTATAAAAAACTAAGGGTTTCTGCATCAACCATATTAAGACTTCAAAGCACACACTTACTTTTCACGATTTGCAGAAGCCTTATCCCTAACCTCCTGTATCTTGTCCTTGTCATTTAAGAGAGACACAATGTGTTCAGCCTTCTTCCTCACGTTGATTCCCACATCCTTCCCGTTCGGTTCAACATACTCAAACTTTGTAAGAGACTTAAGGAAATAAAAACAAAGGAATGTTCAGAATATATGTTTAAAAGAAAAAAACAAAGTAAAATCAGCAATCGGGAAGTTGGTTTTAGCTTGGTTGAATAATTGAAACCAAGAACTACTTCAGTGCATTTAATCAAATTTTAGTAAGGATCCTCAACCTATGGAGGATGATTAAATGAAGTAACATGTCATACAATAACCTACTTAGTGAAAGACGGAAGTCTCAAGAGGATAGAAAAGGTGTGTTTGTGAACAACAATAACATCAAACACAGAAAATCCCAAAAAGTGGGGCTTGGGGGTGTGCATAAGCAGACCTTACCCCATATAGGCAAACACAAAGTGTGTTTGTGTATCAAAAAGAATTCAACGTTGTGTCTATCATCAAAACCTTTAAAAAAATTGTAGCGAAAAGTTTTTTGGCAAAATAAAATACGAACCGAAATATGATATGTATGTTCTACAATATCATCCACTGCACGCTCAGATCCATGTGCTACCAAATACTCTAGAACAACCAGTGCCTGATACATATTGTGGGAAAATTGTTTAGGGGAAACACCTTATTGTTGGAAGATTTCAATTTCAATTAATTCCTACCTTGTAGACATAACGCCAGTTCTTGTCTGTCTCTTTCAATCTTGTCCATAGAACATTCATTGCAATCGAACATTCAGAACTGCACAATTTCTCAACATGTAAAGGATAACTTATAGAGTGTACATACGGGGAAGGAGAAGGAAGAAAAACATGACGATATAAATGCGAACATGAATTAAATCGTCCAAGACGTACAATTTCTTAGTAGCTTGTGCTATCTCAGCCATTGCAGTGCCATGGGGGCCCCAATTTTCATCATCTGTTGCATCCAATACCTTGTAAAAACTAAGACCTTTTAACTTCATCCGTACGCGCGGGGGGAGGGGGGGGTTGAACTCTAGCTAACACCAATGCAAATCAGACTACGAAAGCTTCTAATATTCACAATCACATAATTCATAATCCACTTTTGATATCCTGACTACAAAGTTAACCCATGAACAGGTTCTTAAAGTCATGCTAGCAAATTAAGAAGTTGCATAGAGTAGCAAACTTTGCAGAGGTTCGAGAAGTGAAGCTAGTGAGCTAATGGAAAAAAGAAAAGGTGCACATATATTTGGCATCTAAAAGATTAAATATACTTGGCAGTTAGCACTGCAGTCCACCTTGAAAAACACATTGATATAACTACCTTGCAGGTTGCAGCAGGGAAAAAGGTCAAGAATTCTTCTTGCCTCTACAACTACCTAGTCTTATGCTCGTTGATGATATAACATTACAGATAACAATCCGTAAGTGTTAAGACAAAGAAAAGAACTAATATGGCTCGTAAAAAAATACATTACCTCTGTCCCAAAAGGCCAAAACTTGAAAACTTATCATTTTCATTTTGGGTTGTCACAATATTCTCTAAAAAATATACAGAGTATTACCTCTGTGCCCGAATTCGACATTATACATTTCAGACAGAATTTCATGATTATGAAACAGACCTCTAAATGATGATGTTTGAGAACTCACTTAAAATCTGCATTTCATAAGAATTTCTTTCTAAATACACTTATTCCTAGTCTCATTGCTTTTCTCTTTTGCTATACCTACTTCAAAAAAAAAACTTTCTGCACCAAAGTGAACATACAAAACAACAAGATTATTATATTTCCGATCTAAAAGCAAAAATGAACTGGGAATTGGAGTTTAACTATTTCTACATACCTTCTGTTCGATTTCAGGAACCTTCAACACTTTCAAATTCACCTCCCTCTTTCTGCGAAGCAAATGAAATTTTGATTATTTCTATTTAATTATCACGCATAAAGAGTAAAATAAGCTAAACCGAAATCAAATTCAATGCGGATAAGTGCATTATAATTTATGGACTATGAGGAAACGAGAGAGCTTGCTTACATTTCGCGTACTGTTTGATCGATTACTTTCATGAAATCCATGTCTGGATCTACCTATTAAAAAGCAAAACAACCCAAAAAAACTAAATTATTCAAAAATGCGAGAAGAAAGTTAACGCCTTTTGAAATTAAAAAAAAATCCAGAGAAACGATGGTGCACCTGTGATTAGCAAGCAAAACAAAAGACAGGAAGCCGGATTGGAGCAGATCTAAGATAATTACTGGGTAATATTATTATGGTATCTACATGAAGAAGAAAACATGTGCATAAGGCCCTGTTTGGATGTGGTGGATGTATTTGAGGACTATAAAACTAACAAAAACATGTAGATGGAAGAGAAATAATAGTCCCATTTTTTTTTTGAGAAGAAGAAAATTTGAGAAAATATAGAACATGATTGCAGGATTTAATTCATTTGAGAAGAAGAAAATTTGTAAATAAATCACTTAGAGCAGTGGAAATGGGGCTAACTCCCCCAGCGTCAACCGGGTTTTGACACCCAACGGACGTTAAACACCGTTCTCATGGCGGCGTTAAGGGGCGTCAGTTCCCCTGCGTCAAAACTTTGACGCTGTGCTGCGCAATTCCCCACCCCTCTCGAAGACTAAAAGAGTTGTTACCCACCAAAAAAATTAAATTAAAAAAACTTATAAACTTAATCAAAATACTTATTATATTTATTTCTAAAAAATATTTTAAAAATGGATCACTGATTTCTACTCTCCTTTCAATTCTTTTAAATAATTCAAATTTTATTAATTTAATTTTAGAAAATGTATATTTAAAATATTAAAAATGAAGGTTTGAAGCTCCGGGCTTCAAACCCATTTCCACTGAAACTATGAGGTAAGTTAAACTGACGTGGCAGAGAGAGAAGGTTTGAAGCACTAGAGCTTCACGGGTATTTCCAGTGTCCTTAATTACTTCAGCTTCTATCAAAAAGGGTGAACCCATTCTCGAGGGTCCTTCAGATCCGACCACAAGATCAATTAGAAAAGGTTAATTAAACTTTGATTGTAGATTGATACTTAAGTTTCTACAATTTGGAATACAAATTGTAAATAGATTAGGTACTTGGACACTACGAAACCTTAAGACCACACAACTTCAAGACCCCCCAGCGACTATTCATCTTTCGATCTGTTCAACTTGCAGTACAATTCGATTACCACCCAACACGGGTATTTATTCAACAAGTGATTTTGATTTTTTAATTCTTATCTCTACAAAGTCAAAGTATCCGTCTCTATGTAATTTTTGATAGATCTACTTTTTTACTCTTAACTAATTAACACATTGTTTTAGGGATTTTTTGTTGCATTATTTGTTTTTAAAAACCTTTGTAGTCAATAAAAAATGAACACGTCAAAACCAAATCCTTATTGTTGATATGAAAATTGTTTGAAAAAAGTGCTTTTGTAACGACCCAAAGAGTCAAACATAGCCACTCTCTCCGAAATCTGATTAAGGAAGAACATTAAGAAAAGGATTATTGAAAATAGTTAGAGAGTACGTGATCAAAAAAACCATAGCGTGGAGGCATTACGAGGAGTAGAAATATCTAAGGGCTAAACTAGCATCCATATACAACAGAGTATCACGACGTATATTGCAACTTATTACTCTTCTTTCTCTCCCAAAACTCTCTTCCCCTCCCATGGTGATGGAGAGGGTATATAGGCTCCCACCGGGCAAGAGGGCGACATACTTTCCCCTTCGTCATTCAATCCATACTTTGAGGGAGATATAATATAAGTCGTTGTTAGAATACAAAGCAGACACACGTCATCTTAGGGGTGGGCGCGGTCCGTGATGGTCCGTGATACTACCAGAACCTATTACGGACCGCTCTTGTTTAAACGGTTCGGTATCGGTACGGGATGAACACCAAAACCATTCGGTACCATTTCGTTTTGAAACGGAACGGTACAATACCATACTCATGCTCAAACCATGCCAAAAAAATGAATATACATTACTCAAAGAATATTGAATTTAATATATAAATTTGTATAAAAAAGCACAAGTTTGTTAAATAAAAGTATTGATTTCAAATTTAAACGGATCATAAATAACATAAAGAATAAAAGATAACGAGTCCGAAGTTAAAAAATAATTTTTTTCCCAATTCATATAATATCGGAATACTAAAAACTATAAAAAAAAATAATGATAATAGTAATGATAAATATAATAACAACAATAATAATGAGAAAGTTTAAAAATGAATAATAAAATAAGAAGTATTCTATATATGGTAAGATGAAGTAGACAAATATTCCATAATTATTTGAGATACGTACTCCGTATATAACGTTGGACGGTTCGGTCCGTGATAATCGGTTTTAAAAATATGTATCACGGTCCCGTCCCATTTGGTATCGGTTCGGTTTCGGTTCGTGATGAAAAAAACCAATCCCGTTTGAAAACATTATAAACGGTTCGGTACCATTACGGTCCGGTATGGTACCATGCTAGTTCGGTTTTTTTGGCCACCCCTACGTCATCTCATGGTTGGTCCGTGGTACGATCATTCTTGTTTGTCCTTAAGTATGAGGCGGTTAGGTCAACTCTTCTCTGCGTCTGAATAGCAGGATTGACTTGAATAGATTATTCTACTCAGCTCGTTTCAAACATGTGTATACCATTAACATTCCTTAACCTATGGCTATACTAGCTCGAATTTCGTAAAGTGTGGGTCAAGACCCCATGTCCCAAGTGTCCAACACAATCCTAAATCGACCCATTCCTAGACCGATGCCTTCATGTAGCGACACCTTGTTTGGGCCGGTGCTCTGAGCTTTTCCATATTTAGGGTCTTCAGTAAAGTTTTTAAAGAATAACAAGTCTTTTATATATTCGTTTTATAAATAAAAGACCCTAGAGAGGTTATTTCCACATTTGTGGGGGAGAATAATTGTTGGGTTTGGTAACTATATTTTTAGCCGCATAATAATGTCAACTAGCATAAAAAATACATAGTAATAAATATAGCTAATATGCATGATGCCTTAAAGTGTCTTCATGGTTCTAAAGATGTTCATACTATAAATAAAGATTTGGCTTTTTATTTAGTGAAATTGTGCTAAATAATACTCCGTACTAAACATATGTCATTTCTAATGTATTATTTAAATTTTTTTATTTTCTAAATAGTACTTGAATAATGTCTAATAGCGGGAACAATGTTCAGTGATGGTAGACATTTAGTTTGAACAATGTCTAGTGGCGGTTGACATTTACTTGAACAATGACCAGTGGTACTACATTGAGAAATAAAAATATATGATACTACATTAAAAAAGTCACTATTTAAGTTAAATACTGCATGCCCTAACCTCGGAAATGCTCTTATTCCAACAAAAGTTTTTCCATTTATATATTGTGAGGAATGATTTCTTACTTTTGAAAAGTGAACCAAACATAAAATGAGGAAATTGTTTTTTTAGAAAATGAGAAAAACCCAAATAGTTTTTTTTTTGCAGGAAATGAACTAACAGAGAGGATTTGATCAAGCAATGAATGAATTCACGGCCTAATAGCGCTGGTACCCCTCGTGGTTTGCAAAACATGCACCAATACCCCCTCTGTTTTCAAAACTCATTTCTAAAGTCCTCGTGGTTTTAAAAAGCTGCACCCATGCCCCCTCTGATCAATTTCCGGCCATTTTTCCGGCAAAGAAGGGGGGCATTGGTGCATATTTTTTAAACCATAGGGGGTAACTGTGCTGATTTTTATTTCTCGCAATTTTTTTTCCCATTTTTTCCTTTTTTGTTTCATTTATTAATAAAGGTTTTTTAAAAATATTTTTATAATGTTCTTAAAATTTAAAGTTATTTTTGTTTGAAAAAATTAACATATAATGCATATGTACGTCTCAAATTAACAAATTTTGTTTTTTCTAAATAAAAAGTAATTTTTTTTAGAACTTCAAAAAAATGAGGAATAAAATAAGAAACAAAATAATACAAAAATAAAAATGAATATCGTTTCGGACATCTCAATTCTAAGGACTTTTTTAGGCGTGTCCAATTTTGTTTTTGTATAAGACTTTTTTCCGTATTTTAATTTTTTCATTTCGATTTTCCATATTTTATTTTTTTATTCTGGGTTTTTTTTGAAATTTCCAAAAAATTACTCTAAGTAACAAATTAAAAAGTGAAATTGTTTAATTTGAGATAGATGTAATAATGTATGTTAATTTTTTATTTCTATTTTTATTTCAAACACAAAGAATTTTAAAATTTTTGAAACATTATAAAAAATTGAAAATATATTTTTAAAAAATCTAGGAAAAGGAAAGAGAGATAGAAAATATTAAAAAAGGGAAGAACAATAAACGAAAATAAGAAATGAGCACGAATGCCCCCTATGGTTTAGAAATTATGCGTCAATGGCCCCTCTTCGCCGGAAAATGACCGGAAAATGATCATAGGGAGTGTGGGTGCAACATTTTGAAACCACGGGATTTTAGAAATAAGTTTTGAAAACAGAGGGAGTATTGGTGCCAACTTTCCAAACCACATGGGGTGTCAGAGCTATTTGGCCATGAATTCACACTTGGCTCTCTTCTCCATTGCAGAGAAGATCATCAGTATACCACCATGTGTTCAACCACAATCTCAAATCTTCAAAAACACACCCGCCCACATCTGTTCCTGCTAGAATGCTGCTCCAGCATGAAACGCCTCATGGAATTCCACGCCCATTTCATCACAAGTGGCATCTCTACTCACCCCACCATCCTCAGCTCCGTCATATCCTTCGCCGCACTCTCTCCCGCCGGGGATTTGGGTTACGCCCGCTCCGTTCTCGCCCGCATCACCCAACCCAATTCTTTCATGTTCAACACCGTGATAAGAGGCTATGCTTCGAGCTCCGACCCGGGTTCCGCTTTTGTTCTTTACAGTTTCATGATCGGGCACGGCATTGTTCCCAACAGTTACACTTACCCTTTTGTGATCAAGGCCTTATCGAAGGGTGGTAGGGATTGGTTGTGCTGTGGTGAAGCCACCCATTGTTCTGTGATCAAGTACGGCCGTGTCTCGGATCTTCATATAGCTAATTCGCTCTTGAATATGTATGCGAGTTTCGGGTTGTCACAAGATGCGCGCAAGGTGTTTGATGAAATCCCCAAACCGGATGTGGTTTCTTGGAACGTGATTGTTGATGATCTTTGTCAAAACGGCCTCTTTGATGAGGCCTTGTACATTTTCTCCCGGATGTGTATAAATGGGATTCGGCCTAATTCGGTCACATTTCTCTCCCTTGTGTCTTCTTGCACAAAGAGCAGTGATTTGGGTACCGGTAAAATGGTGCATTTGCAAATAATGGTGATAATAGGATATAGTATCAGCAAAAATCTTGAAAACTCATTGCTTGATATGTACTGCAAGTTTGGTGATCTGGATTCAGCTGAGAAAATGTTCCATATAATGGAAGTGAAGACCGTTTTTGCATGGACGTCACTGCTTGATGGTTACATACTTAAGGGTGAACTCGAAAGAGCTGTGGAAGTTTTTTATCGCATGCCTTTCAAGGACACAACTGCTTGGAATGTCATGCTTTATGGTTTCCTAGAGGCTGGTGATGTTAATTCAGCTGAAAAGATTTTCAGAGAAATGCCAGAAAGGGATTTGGTGTCATGGAACAGTATGATTCTTGGATATGCCCATAACAACAAACATATTGAGTGTTCGCCGTTTCTTAAAGAAATGCTCCGTTCGGGGGTAAAACTTGATAGGATCACTTTGCTTGGTGTGTTTTCTGTTTGTGGGTATGCAGGGGAAGCACAGTTTCTTGGTGAAGCCATACACTCTCATATGGAAAAACTCAACATAAAGGGAGAAGAAGTAGAGACTGCTTTGATGGACATGTATTGCAAATCCGGTTCTTTTGAGAAAGCTATTAAAGTTTTTGAAACTATAGCAAGAAAATCTGTGTTGGCTTGGAGCGTCCTGATCGCGGGACTAGCTATGAATGGTCTTGCAAATGAAGCTCTAAATTACTTCCATCTGATGTGTGAGGCCGGAGTAAAACCAAACGAAATTACGTTTTTAGGCGCTTTGTGTGCCTGTAGTCATGCAGGTCTGTTGTTAAAGTATAGCACATTGGGAATATACCCATATTTTAATCACCCTATAAGCGTTGGATTTTCTTTGCATATGTTATGAGTTTTAATCTCATTTAAATGGGTTCTTATGAGTTTTTAGCTCATGACCATTGCTCCTCCTCTGTTTTTTAGGATGAAGATTCACAGTCTATTCGTGAGAAACCCTTTCAAAAATCTCAAATTTCCATCTCAAATTTACTTCTTTTCGGGTTCTTTTGACACCCATCATGAGTGCCAACTATGACACTCATGTCATTTGAGGATCATATGGTGCTCCGTTCAACCCTGAATTAGTTCCTATCCACCCCCACCCCCACCACAAATCCTCCAAGTCCTTCCCATAGCCCCCCAAAACTCTGTAGTATTTACTGTAGCATAACGGTAAAATAGGGGGCAGGGAGTTTAGAGAGATAGGAACCACTTTGGGAACGAACGGAACACTGTAGAGCCCTCAAACCTCAAATGACCAGGTGTCATATTATGACACCAGTTATGGGTATCAAAAGATTCCAGCTCAATTTACTCATTTATCTATATTTCACCCTCTTGGTCTAATCTATATATTTAAAACAGGTCTTGTGGAAGAAGCAAGGAGTTGTTCAGAGATATGGTACAGATCCACGGCATGACACCAAGGTCTGAGCATTGTGGCTGCATGGTGGATCTTCTTGGGAGAGCTGGTTTGCTGAAGGAGGCAGAGAAGTTCATTCAAGAATCTGCGCCCGCCATAGCTGATGAAGCTGGAGCTTTGGGAGCACTTGTTGGGGCTTGTAGAATGCATGGAGAGATCGGGATGGCAGAAAAATTTGCCAAAAGACTTGTGGAAATCGACCCATATCATTCGGCCAGGTATGTTCTCCTCTCCAATATCTATGCTGCAGAAAACCGGTGGGGTGACGTTGAGAAGGTGAGGAAGAGAATGAAGGCTACAGGTGTGCAGAAAACACAGGGATTTAGCTTGATCCAACTGAAATCTGGTGGCTGATTTTATACATTGAAAACAAGTTCAACAATCACAAGTACGTAAGTTTTCCTGCTTTTTTTTTCACTTGTATTGGATTTCCATCACCCCATCCCATAAAAATCTTCCTAGTTTGATTTTCACTGAATTAAAGAAAAGTGTTGAAAAGTTAAAAGTACATTGTTGGAATTTGTTTAGATGAGAGAATTTTCTTTAAAAGAAATCAAATAAAAGTTTTTTTTGGAACATTTGAAAAGGAAAGGTAGGAAGCTTTTTGTGGGGCGGAGGGAATAATATGATTCCTTTAATTATCTCTTGTTTATGATACTCCTCTGTCACACTATGTCCTTTTTTTTCTTTTTTGTTTCTTTCACTATTTTTATTTCATACCATATTTAGTCATATTTGTGTGGTTCACACTCATTCTTATCTTATTTTTAATATCAATATAACTATCCAATCTTACTTTTTTTAATATTCGTGTCACTCCATGTTCTGAAAATAGTGGGACGGATGAAGTACCTCTCAAGGTATGTTCTTTTGAACTGAAGTTGAGTTCAAAAAATTGCTTGATTTGTACTCATGTGTTTGGCTCTTAACAACTTTTCCAAATTTTACAAAGGATCCGAGTGTTGGTACATCCCAAGATACCCAAATGAGGACGTTTCGACTATAGCAAGTGGCACACTGTGTGGAATATGTAACATGTTGGGTTCCCAACCTATCTATGAGTCTAAGACACTTGAGCTATCAAGAAGAAGAAGAAGAAGATATTTTTATAGGTCATGAATATCATATCAAGCCAAAAACACTCAGAGAGGAAGCTAAGGTGTGTTTGGATGGATGGTTTTGGAGGGGTATTGAGGAGAATTTTGAAGTGTATACTCAAGAAGAAGAAGACGAAATGGTTGATGATTATAATAAAGAATGTGTGGCACAATTTATATTTGCATGCATTGGTTATGGAAGAAATGCTCTTTTGTGAATAATGTTTCTATCTAATGCTAGATTTTTAAATGTTATTTTTCTCGTTTTTTCTTTTTAAATATCCTAAAGAGATACCTTAATCTTTTGTTTGGTAGCGGGAAAGTAAGGGTGAAAATAAAATTAAAGGAGAAAAATAAAGATGTGAGTGAATATTGTGTTTGGAAATGTGAAGAAAAATAAGGGAGGTTGAAAAAAATCTTTTTATTTTTCTTTGTTATTTTTCCTTCTAAAAATATGAGAAAAGTTCAAAAAATTGTAAATTATTCTACATTCACCTATAAATTGGGAGGTAAATAGATTTATTTTCTTTCCTAAAAATATCCAAACAAAAGGAGGAAAAATAAATTTATTTTCTTTTTCTAAATTTTTCACTCTTATTTTCTTTCCTCCATATAAAAAAATCCAAAATGGAGATAAGAAACACTTCATCCGTCCCACATTTTTCATACCATTGTCATGATTGGATCTTTTAATATTTTTCAACTTCTCTTTTTAAACGTCTTGAAAAAGCAGAGCAGATGTAAAGAGTTTGCATGTGCGTGTTTCTTATCGTGAAAAGCAACATGTGCCGGTAAGCGTCGCACAGTCGGCAAAGGCAATGAGTGCCAAAGGTAGACTCAAGTTTGATACCTAACAACTGCGTTGAGAAGTAAATATGCTAAGCATAAAGTCTCCACAAGTATCAAGTGTAAGTTTCACTCTTTATCACCAATCTAAGATCAAAGTCCAATTTTTACCTCCTCTCAATGACCGTCCGGCCAGCAGCCGGGTTTGAAGAAACCCTTGGTATAGAGATCATCCTCTTTTTTTTTTTTTGTGCAAAGCGACATGTGGCTCACAATGAAACTTTTTACATTCAACTTGGTAAACCTCATAAAATTAACTTACACTTCCCTCATATGATCATATCAAAAAACATACTCAGTGGCTAAAAACTTGTACTCCGAATCTTCCAAACAAACTTCAACTACGGGGTATATACTTTTAAATATTCAAATTTTTTCTTAAATTTGTGAACTCAAAACATGAGTCTTATTACAAGACCAAGGAAATAGCTACACTCCATCTACACCCAAAAAATGCACATTTCTTTTCTAGTGTATTACAAAATACCAAATGAAGTTCCACATTTTTAAGGTTAAGATTTAAGAGATTCACATTTTGTTGTATAAATCTCAATCACACAATTTCGTACTCCTTAATATTTGTGTCAAACCAAATATGAAACCTTATTCTAAAACGCAAAATGTGGAGCCTTATTCTGAAACATAAGGGTGAGAAAATGGGCGGCGTGCACAAACAAAAGAACCATATAGTAAGTAATATTTTTGAAATCATTACAAAGTGGGGGGGTTTATACAAGTGAAACACAAGTTTATTTTAAAGTTCCAACAATAATAGAGTAGCAATATTACTAGGGAAATACAGACTTGCTTGATGCAATCTATACAGAAAAGCAGTACACACTCACCAGTAGAGGTTTTTTTCCCCTTTTCAAATGCACATTATCATGATGATCTCTTGCACAAAGAGGGTAGAGATACATCAACCTGAAAATCCACCTTTGATTTACCCATCCAATTCGACCTGAGGAATTGCGAATTTTACATGCCCGCGAGGAGGCAGAAAAGGATATGATTCATGTCAATACACTGAGAAATTCTCTTGGAAATTTAATATTTTTACAACAATAATCCAAGAGAATTTTAGTTTTTACATGGATCCCCCGATTTTGAGGCGTGTCTATGAGCAATATGTAATCTTGGAGTATTGTTGTAAAGATAATGAATTTCCAGGAGCGATTGTTATAATTATGTAATCTTCGAGTATATTCTTGTACGCAAAAAATGCTGCTACATTTGTCCATAAATAACATTTGTAGTTTGACTTGGCATGGTTATTTATAAAACTATTTTTTAAATCTATTTGACTTCCAAATTTGACCATACATTAGTGGTTGAGACTGATAATAGATGGATTATGATTGACTTTCATTTTACACCTGCTATAAGATCAAAACAAAGTTCCAGTTTTTACCCTTTGAAAATGACAAGGAGAGGTATGGTAGATTGTGTGTTTTGTTTAGTAGGAGAGATCAAGAAGAAAAGGTAAAAAAACCCACCATTTTCACTCTCCCATTTCTCTTTTCACCGAAAAAACAAAAAATCTCCATTTCTCTCTCCTATTTCACCTTAACCAAACAAAGGCTAAGTGTTGATTTTTGCAATCATCTTCAGACACAAACGAGACCCAATATACAAGAGGCAATTCAAGCTCCAATAACAGAAGCTTCGAATTTTCAAAACAAAACAAATGAAATTAACTTCACAAATTAAATGAGCATGATAATAGAAAAAGTAACAAGAAATTACCTTTTTCCCTAAAGAGCCATCTCAGCCTGCAGAGCAGCAAGCTCATCTTCCTCAGCAGTGTTCTTCCGGGGAGGACGGCGTTCTGGTTGCCTACCAGCTGCTGTTGACGCATGGATTGGGGCAGCAGGTGCTGTGGTAGCAGGTTGAAGAAGTTGTTCTTCCAATTCAGTCTCTTCTAGCTCCTCAAGTTCTGCCTCCAGTTCATCCTGATAAGTGATAACACATTCTTAGAGATTCTCTGTACAGAGCACACACGTACACACACCCAACCTAGAGGACCAAAAAGTAGTACCTCATCAAAATCGGCTGCTGCTCCAAGTGGCGCTGACAGTGCCTCCTGAATTTGTTTCATATTCTCAGTCTGCTCGTTAATCTCATCCATTGTTTTGTCCACATCATCAATGTTCCTGAACCACACAAGTAATTATGCCAGAATGTTAGAATAGACGCGTAGAATTAATAAAATGATTGATGCTAATACATTTTCAGATCTCCCCTTAACTGGTTCGGAGGTCTGAGAGAAGAAGGGGAGGGGAAATGATCACCTCCCCGCATTTCGTTAAAAAAACAATTCCTCCCTTGAACCAAACATACCCTTAGACCCTTACCCTTCTATAATGAAAATCTCAAAGATACACTAATTAAACAAAAAGGTTAGAAGATACACACATACTCAGTATCATTGACCACAATAAAAATCTCAAACACACAGTAACTTGATATTAATACATAACAAGATCATCCCTTAGTCCCTAGCCTTCAAATGATACTGAAAATAATAGCATTGAACCACGATTATGATGTATTATTCAACATTAATCTCAACTATCATGGCAAGATTTTGAATCGCCACCACTTTTCAATTTTCATCATGCAAATAAGGCTCTTAAATGGACCCATCAGAAGGGAAAATGTACTCTAACAGATATAGATAAGATGAAAATAATGAGAAAGTTTATTGACTTCCAAGTTATGGGATCTCAGACTCAAGTTTGTAAATAAATGATCACTGTGTTTTCATTTAATTAAATTGTGTTGAGACTTAGGAGGCAAGGTTTATCAATGACATGTTATTGATCCAACAGTATGACAGTGTGTGTGTCTATGTGTTACAAAGACAACTCACGTTGCCTTTTGCATGGCTTTCATAGTAGCAGCTCCTGTTCTCAAAGCATCAACAGTCTCTGTCGTGGCTTTAGCACCTTCTAGCATAATCATCTGTAATTCAAACCCAGAAAATTCCTCAATAACTCATCAAGAAATACGGGTAAAGATATGTAACATATGAGACATGCCTGATCATGAATACGTAATTGGAAGTTCCCAAGTTGTTCAATTTGTTGTTCATAAAGCCTTTTCCTCTTAAGACATTGAATTGCAGCTACAAAAAGAATTAAGATCAAAGTCATCAACCACCCATCCTAGAATAACCAAATAGATGCAACAGTCAGATACTTACACTATTCACACACTCCCTTTTGTTGATTTTTGTGTTCTATATGTAAGGAAAAATATACAGGTGTGGGATCTTAACAGATTTGTCTCAATATAAAATTTCATGATATCATTTTTATAATTGGTAATATTAATGATTTAATTTGTGCATTAGAATGTTGCAACTATTATGGAACAGAGGAAGTACTAGATAGCTAGGGTAGGGAGGATTCACATAATGCATGATGTTCCGGCCAACAAGTACCAAAACAAGAAACAACTTCCCTCGAGAGTTAACTATTAAAAAAACATTTGGTAAATATAAAATAACTATACATTAAAAAGTGTGGATGATAATGAATTTTAAATAAGATATTGTTAATGGCTCCCAAGTCCCATCTCAAATGAATCATCAAATACTCCCTCCGTCCCAAAAAAAACTTCATAGTTACTAATTCACATGGTCAAACTATATCATCTTTTTTAGCCTATTTTGTTACTCATTTGATAAAATAATATAGTCATGACACCTCTTGCTTTGTAGAACTTTTTATGTAGTTTCTTAACTATATAAATTCTAATTTTAAAATTTATACCAATTATTAATTAAATTGAATTGAAAATAACTTAAGTCAAACTTTGAAAACCATAAAGGAAGTTTTTTTTGTTTTGTTTGGGGGCGGAGTATAAAAATATTGCCAGAGCAGAGAGCATCTCAGCATCTAACAACCATACTGATCAGATCAAAATGTATAAATCAGCAACCAACAAATTATTTGAATAGAACTCATCAAGAAAAAGAGAACGATTTGCAACAAGTAGTCAAACAGGAATCATACCCCTTTTGTTTTTAGCTCTAGTAAACTCCTTAGCC